GTCCCTATGTCCCCACATCCTGCCGCAGCGAGGAGCTTTCCTGGGCCCACTCGTCACACATGTCTGGCTATGCGGGGTTCTGTCAGACTCTGAAGTTCCTCCAGCGGGCTCTCTGGTGGCCACACATGGCTAAGGACGTTAAGGAATACACTAGCGCATGCGACATCTGCGCTTGCTCAAAGACACCCAGCCAGGCCCCTGTTGGGGTTCTCAGACCACTCCCGGTGCCCAGCCGTCCCTGGTCCCACGTGGGCCTGGATTTCGTCACGGGACTTCCGCCAGTCAACAACCTCAATACAGTCCTCACGGTCACAGACCATTTCTCAAAAGTGGCCCACTTCATCACCCTTCCAGGTTTCCCTTCGGCCTGACGTACTGCGGAGCTATTCCTGGAGAACGTGGTGTGCCTCCACGGTTTCCCTGTCGATGTGGTCTCCGACCGGGGTCCCCAGTTTACGGCCTGATTCTGGAAGGCTTTTTGCCGCCTAATGGGTGCATCGGTCAGCTTATCCTCAGGCTATCACCCGCAGACCAATGGTCAGACGGAACGGGTTAACCAACAGCTGGGTCGGTACCTCCGGTGCTTTGCCTTGGCTCAACCCTCGCAGTGGCCTAAATACCTCCTTTGGGCGGAGTTGTCCCACAATCTACACACCTCCTCAACCACTCACATGTCCCCTTTCGAGGTCTGCTATGGCTACCAGCCCCCAGTCTTCGCCCACCAGGAGCCCAAAGTTGCTGTTCCTGCCACGCAATCCCTAGTGAGGCGCTGCAAGAACGCCTGGATCAAGGCACGAGCTTCCATGACCCGGGCTAATGCCCGTTACACTCACCAACATCTCCGCCGACACCGTCCTGGACCCTTCTATGTTCCTGGGGATAAGGTCTGTGTGTCCACCGCGGGCCTCCGCCTCCGTGCCGGATCCAAGAAGCTCGCTCCCCGGTTCCTCGGGCCTTACACTGTACAGAAGGTCATCAACCCAGTCTCATACTGACTGCGGTTGCCAGCAAGTCTCCATATTCATCCCACCTTCCACACCTCCCTGCTCAACCCCTATGTGGAATCTTCCCTCTTACCGTCTCCGGCATCCTGCGCCTCCGCCTACCCTCTTCCTCGACGGTGAGCCCATCTACACCATCCGACACGTCCTGGACGCTCGTCGCAGAGGTCGAGGATGGCAATACCTCGTCGACTGGACAGACTATGGCCCCGAGGAGCGCTCCTGGGAACCGGCCTGCTCCATCCTGGACCCTTCCCTTATCTCGGACTTCTGGGGCTGCCGGGGTCGCCCTGGGACTTCAGGAGCCGTCCCTGGATGGGGGGGTCCTGTCAGAGCCCAATTCCCCAAACCAGCCTCTTCCAGCTAGCCGGTCTCCACCCTGGACCACAACTCCCAGCATACTCCTCGCAGGGATTCCCTCCACGTCACACCCAAGTCACTAACCGCGACTATATACGGAAGTCGCCTCCCCAGCTCACCACTCAGTCATCGTTTCTTCAGATCCGAGATCAGAGTATCCTACCAACCAACCTATCCGACAAACTGTCTACTCACAGTAAGCTCTATTTCTTACCTCTGGAAAACCCAGCATCTCCGTGTCACTTCATTGACGCTCGGACGCTCGGGGAATTCCTAGATCAAACCGCGAGCCGGTGTATCGCCGACGCTAGCACTTACGCGCCTGTAAAGCCACGCCCGCCACAGCTCATCTCCCTTATCCAGCCGACCCGTCTGACACCTTGGCGGTTCCTGATGACTTGTCTCCTAGGCAACTGGGGCGGGACCAAGACATCAAAGCAAGGTTCCTTGGCAATGAGAAACATCCCATGTTTGTGTTTAAAAGTTAGCATGTTTTGCAAAATGTGCTATCGTAGCTTTAACAACTAAATTATTTTTACAAGTCTGTTATATTTCATATTCTATTAAGTTAACTTTGTAATTTAAAAGCAGACTTAATATACTACTGTGACTCTTTTGTGTTTTATCTTACTGTCAACTTAAAGGCTTTAGATTCAGCTGAAAGTGGTGATGGAAGACGGAAGTAGAGAAGGGGTTAGGATGTGTGTGTGTGTGTGTGTGTTTGCAGCTGATGGGGTTAAGTGCAGCACCAGTGTGATGTGATGGAGGGATGAAAGGAAAGAGGGGAAAAAGAAACAAGAGTAAAGATCCATTAGCTAATGGATATCCTTAGTCCCGTTTTGGTCTGACTTAGTATCCTCACACACACACACACACACACACACACACACACACACACACACACACACCTACAAAAACACATTCAAACTAATCAAAATCTCATCTAAAATCAGTCAAATCAGAAATTCATCGCACATTTGTTTGTGTGTGTGTGTGTGTGTGTGTGTGTGTGTGTGTGTATGTGTGTGTGTGTGTGTCATCACATGAGACAGAACCTAATTGGTGACAATAAGACATCTGTGGCTCCTTCCTGATGAGGCATTCAGGCAGGAATCTGAGCGTAACTCCCCACACCCATCTCTCTCTCTCTTTCTCTCTCTTTTTCTCTCTCCCTTTATCCTTCCTCTCTCTCGTTCTTCCTCTCTTACAGCCTGAGGTCTTGCTGATAGCAAAACTGGACCTGTCTTTCTCATCAGGTCTCACTGCAGCTTTTGTTTTGTTTATAGCTCTACACACACTCACAGAACATGTCTAACCACACTGTTGGACTTACGCAATATCAGAACTGGAAGAGATGGAAAAAGCTTGATTTAATCAAAAATAAAGTAAATAAAAAGGAAAACAGCATTTAATGAAAGAAACACCATGAAGTCACTGCTTTAGTTAGCGCCTGTTCTTGTCTTTATGCAAGATTATTTCACTTTTAATTTATTTAGTTTAGCTTCTTTCAGTTTTTCCTTCATTTCTTTCTTTCTAGACACATTTTCGAAATCTGCTTGTGAATTTAAATGAATAGAACAATTACTTTCTGCGTCAGAATTTTGAAACACTCATATTGTTTGTAATGGGGAGATAATAGGTTGACTAAAAGAGGAAGAATTTCAAAAAATGATGCACAATAAGCAATAATTTATTACAACTTTATTTCTCCATTGGTCCAAAGACGGATTATTCTGACAGCCTCATTAGATTCAGAAAACCCAGTGCAATAATAGGTCCAAATCTTAGAAACACCAAATAAATAAGCAACATTTAGATTTTATTTCTTGAAAATCAGCTAATAGTTGTCAAATCAGACCTATTTTTTTGTGAAACTGACTTCTACACCAATCTCCTACATTAGCTTCTAGGGATGGGTACCTTTGACATTTGAATCGATCCGGTACTAATTCCCGGTACCTATGAATCGATACTGGTACTTAACGGTACCAATTTTCGATACTTTTGAGTGTTTATTATTTTAATTCTCTTTTTATAATTAAATATATATTTTTCTCATTATATAACAATATTTGATAAACATCACGATAAATAACATACAACTGTTTGTATTTTAACATCGTTCTTGTAGTTTTATAAGCTGATAATTAAACTGAAGCAAACATCTTTACTGTGAACTAAATTTACTGCGTATCTTCATTCCTTTTGCCGTCTTTTTTCATTTGATTTTTCCTACCGGGAAGTTAGAATTTCCGAGGAGAAAGCGAACGCACCATTAGCTGATAACAATGGTAGCAATTGAAGCTAAGATATCAAGCTAACATTATCTTAAACAGTTTATTTAGCTGCTGGAGCAAAATAAAACGATGATGCCTCACACTTAGATCGTTGTCACTGTTTTCGTCTTCACCCGTCACATTTAATAAAGTGAAGCCAAACTTTAGAGCGCGTTCATGTTCTTCTAGTCGGGAATTCGGAGTTCCGAGGAGAAAGCGAACCCACCATTAGCGAAATGGAAGCTAACATATCAAGCTAATTATATTTACCTACCGGAGCAGATTAAGATGAGGATTGTTGCCAGTGGTTTCATCATCACCCAGTTAGCCATCATATTTAGTGAAGTAGACCCAAGCTTTAGCCTGCGTTCTTTCCACCATGCTGCTCTGTTTAAACAGGTTCGCAGCGAGCGACGACAAAACCCTCTTGCGCATGCGCAGCTGTCTTGGCAAGTTCTCGTTATGATGGACGGGTACCGAAACGAGGCACCGTTTGAAATGACGTGAATCGGTGCTCGGTCGGTACTATGGAATTCGGTCGGTACCTTAAAAAGTACCAAATTCGGTACCCATTCCTATTAGCTTCTGATAGAAAATAAATGGTGAAAAGCTAGGACTTGAAAATCCTCACACTGTGATGTCACACTGTGAACTTACACTCATGACCTCACCTATATTGGGCCCCACCTGCCCACAGGAAGGCTTATTTTTCAACGAAGAGAGAGAGAGAGAGAGAGAGAGAGAGAGAGAGAGAGAGAGAGAGAGAGAGAGAGAGAGAGAGAGAGAGAGAGAGAGAGAGAGAGAGAGAGAGAGAGAGAGAGAGAGAGAGAGAGAGAGAGAGAGAGAGAGAGAGAGAGAGAGAGAGAGAGAGAGAGAGAGAGAGAGAGAAGATAGTGTCTCGGTAATAGTGACTTTGCAACATGGCTTAATGCTTTCTGTTAGCCAATCAGAAGCAAGGTGTGCGCATATCATTAATAATAATGAGCAATCCTGCTGTTTTCAGCCCACCACCAGCAAATGTGTGCATCATAGGATCAGGAGCATTGCAGCTTTTTAAAAGAAAAATGACTCGTGAGGAATTGATTTACACTAGAGAACGCTGCAATTGTACTGAATAAATGAGTAAACCACACCTTTAACTACTTAATTGATATTTGACTCATGTTGAAAAAAGTAAATAGGAAAACATGAGTGGAGCCACATTTACACATTTTGTGCAAAAATCAGTAAGTCAATAAATCAACAGGATTATAGTCAGAAACCTACACTGAAACATCTAATTTACGTGTCTGAATCCATATTTATTCCAGTGCATCCTCTTCTTGTGTGTTTAATGGACAGTTTTAATGAAGTGGCAAAAACATTTTTTTCTCAGAGATGAAAGAACTTTAATTAAATATAGTGAAAGTCAAAAAGTTATTTTACACTTCAAAGTTCAAAATATTACAAAATCAACGTAATCATTTTTACAGTAGTTTCCCCTTTACTCGTCGTCTTGATGCCCTGAACGCATACAAGCCAGAATAAATGATTTTACTGCTATCAAGCAAGTGCTCTCCATCTTTACTTTACAAGTATTTCATTAAATAGCCATAAAACCCCCTTTCTGCTCTGAAATGTCACATATTTTCCTGACAGTCATGTGTAACATTCAGAAGCAACCAGAACAGTGGTCTCCAGGCCCAGGACTGAGATCAAATAAAATAGGTGGCTCATTTATTTTATAGAGAAAATTCAGAAAAAGTTACAAATGGAGGGGTGATATGGGAGAAGAGTAAGTCTAATTTACATACACACATAAAACAGACAAAAAAATTAATATTTAAAGCTTGGAAAGGGGAAGAAGAGAAACATTTCCTTCATTGGGTTGTTTTGTTCCATCTGAAACTCAGCTGCATAAGATGCAATCATACATTATTAAATATAACAGAGATTTTAAATCTAAATACACAACAAAATGATGCTATAAGAATATACCAACATGACAAACTGAATAAAACGTCCTTCTTCCATCCTAATAAAAACAAACACATCATGGCTTAAATCAGTCTGATTGACAACCTGTGGAAATATGGCTTTTAACAAACACAATCATTCAAAAACAACATGATATCTTTGTAAAATTTAAATCCTGTCACACCTATTTTGGGATGTAAACATCATTTTTTCCTAAAAACACATCCGTTATAAGACTTTTTATTTAAATCTTGACAACTACCCTCGTTTTTCACAATTCTTTCATGATACCTTTATTTTGACGAGATTTATTTGATTGCAAATCATTCCTGTTCAGCATGTACACTGCAAAAATTGATTTTCAAGAAAAGTAAAATGTTTTAAAACATTTTATCTCGCCTTAATAGTTTATAAAGATTTCCTGTGGCTGATTTCTGCAAAATCAGAACTACTTAAAATAAGATAAATATTCTTAAATATGATCAAACTTTCTAGTAAAAATTTGCCAATGAGGTAAGCATAGGTTGCTTGTTTTACTTTTGCTCACCCCGGCAGACTTTTACACTGAAAATTTCTATTCAGTTTATTCAGTCGTCTCAAGGCACTTCACAAAGTCAACATTCCAATTGAGTTCAGTGCCAATTGGTTAAATTTCCTATATAAGGAACCCAGCAGAAAGCGTCAAATCACTGACTTGTTGTGTCAGAGACTTTACAGCAATCTTCATGCTAAGCAAGCATGTAGCGACCGTGGAGAGGAAAAACTCCCCTTTAACAGGACAAAACCTCCAACAGAACCAGCTTGTTGTGAGCAACAAGAAATTTTAGTCAAATTTAAGTATATTTATGTTATTTCAAGTAGTGTTTTTATTTGTTGATAACATTTTTTCTCTTTAGACTAAAAACAAGAAAAAATGTCTAAAGAGTTGGATTTAATTTTTTTTTCTTGGTAATCAGTTTTTGCAGTATAAATGTCAGTTAGGGTAAAGATCAAATATGAACCAATCGTGACATTTTGTGAACACACCAGTCATGCTTATTGAAGCCTTTCTGTTTCTGATTATGTGTTAAACAAAGTTACGTAAAACATCACACGCTGTAATATTAGACTGCAGTCATCTGTCAAAAAAGGTGATTTTGGTGAAATTACACATAACACACATTAAGACTGTTGAGAAACACACTGAAGATTTAAATTTGTGACATCATACATTCTTAGAGAGGAAGCAAATCCTGTGTGGAGGATTTAGTCAGATTTCATAATAAAGCAAATGCATTGGTCCTAATTAACAGAACATATGCAGAAATTGTGTGTAGATCCTCAAAAATTGTCCTTCTCTAGTGGCTAACCCAGAGTTTTTTGTTTTAATTGTCTTGGTTCTAAATTGCAGCCTAAAATTGCATTAAAAAATAAAAGACAGGAATTAACTTTTAAAAATCTGGTATAGTTGGTTTGCATTTATTGCAACTACATAGCAAAATTTAATTTTCAAGAAAGTAAATAAAAGTCATTTTATTTTATTTTAGTCTAAAAAGAAAAACTGCATTACTTGAAATAAGGTAAATATTCTTTGATATGTTAAATTTTCTTGTTTTGAATAAAACAACCTTCCAATGGGGTAAGCAAACGTTGGTTGGCCAGAATTCTTTAAACCAAAATGAAGACAAAATGACTAAAATAAGGCTTTTAAAAACTTTCTTGAAAATAGTTTTTTTGCAGTGTTAAAGTATGTCAAAATGATTGAAAGACAACACACATTTACCCAATGAGCAATTACCTTTCTTTGCAGATGATCCATAGCTTTACACAACAAACTGCATGTTTTCTGTTTACCTCTTGTGTAGAGGTTTTTCAAAGATTCGCTTCAAATTTGAATGAAATAACAAATATTAGATAAATAAATTTGATCTGATTCTTACATTTTTGTGCACATAAAACACTTGAGTGGAAGGCAAGGGAACGCAGTAAGTTTAAAACAACTCTCATTTATGAAATAAATGCAAAAAGTGACAAAAATCCTGCAAAATAATAATATTTCCTATTTCTCACTGAATCAAATGTTTCCATCACCTCTCTGACTTTCTTGGCACTTTTAGTTGTAAAGAGTTTTAAGGTCATAACATAAATCAGCTTGCAGCATTTTGAACTGAACTAACAATAATTTTTTACTAAAATTTTAGAATAAAATTTTGCGAATTCTCACATCGATGTTCATAATTTAAGACAAGGATGGACTTTAATACTGAGCTGCAGATTTTTGATCAAACATTCCTCCCAGAGCAGCAACATCATTGGCTAATTCTCTCATCCAAACAGCCACATGAACCAGTTCAAATCTGATTGGCCACCATTATAATTTTAACAATGCAGCAAACCAGAAAAACAAGAATGAACTTATCTATGAAAAACTCTACAAAGCAAATATCATAAATACAAAAAAAAAAAAAAAAAAAATCAAAATCAAAATGGCAGCAGTCCTTTAAGACATGTTCTTTCTCCTAAAAGTGGACAGTTCACACCAACTTCAGATTTGGTTGCAGAAACGGAGGGAGGACTCAGAACATCTGTTGGCATCCAGCTGCATAAAATTAGTTATTACCAAATCTAGTAAAAAAAATCACTTGTAGAATTTATTTCACTTCGGCAATAAACAAAACATCATTTTGTACATCTAATATAAAATCTAACATATGAAAGCAGATGTAAGCTGAAAGTAAACACTGGTTTTGCTTTGACTGCAACATCATGTGATGCTGGGAAACATCTGAGTCCTTCAGCTGAATCTAGAGAGGAGAAATGTTGGTCTGAAAGCTGATGAGTGGGGTGGGAATTTGGCGAATCTGGTTTGGCTTGTCTGTGTTGGCTGGATCAGACCCCGGTACCTCCTTCCTCATTTAAACTCAGCGTCATCAGATCTTCACATTATTCTCCTTCGGTGACGTCATAAATAGAAAACCGCTCATTTTACAGTTGAAGAAAATTAAAACACATCACCTGTTTCACAAAAAGAAAAATAGAAATGTAAGGAAGGAAATTTTCTCTTCCTTCAATCGTAGAGAATCATAACGCAGGCGTGGCCGTTCTCCTATAAAAGCCTTACAGTGCATAATGTCCAAATGACAATTTTCTTGCAGTTTTTTGTTCTTCTTGTGTTTGTTCTTTTGTGTTAAAAAGGGCCTGAGTTGGTTTTGTTCCTTCAGCTATAGACGGATGCTTCCATCCGCGACCGGAGTCTGACTTACACCAAATCCTCCTTCGGGATCAGCGACAGAGTGTGTTCAACTCTTACAGAAACACACGATCACACACTCACACCTCTACATGGGCGGGATGATCATCCCCGGGATGGCTGCAGAGAAGAGAGGAAAGAGAAAATCAGAAGGAGTGGAGGAAAAAAAAACTTTTAAAACTCAGCCAAATATTTTTTTTGTTGTAAAAAACATCCCAAGTAGACACATAACTGTTTTCTCATCTGTGCAGCTGTGTGACATAAAAATCATCAATGGAAAAATAAATCATGACAATCAAAGAGTGATGCATGATATAATGTAAGTTAGTGATGCGCGCACGCACGCACACACGCACACACACACACACACACACACAACTACAGAGAACATTACATTTGTCTTTATTACTTTATGGGAGACTTAACAGAAACACGTCACTTCACTGAATGTGAAGGATTAGATTGCATTTACACCGAGTCGGAAGAGAGACTGTTTCCATCCGGACCGATTTAGGCATGACACACTCTAAGCCTACTCACTTAAAAGAAGATGCATTTATTACAGTGACCACACGTCCGCTTTTCCACGAACATGTCCACTTTGCACGCTCTGTCTGGGAATCTGAGGGAGATTCTTTGATTGATGAAAATTGTTCCAGTTTTCTTAGTTTTTCAGGGGACCAATATCTAAATTGACATGGATGGTCCGAACAAATCACAGAAGTTCCATTGATAACTTGACATTGAAAATCTTAGTCCACTGGCACATAATGTGCTCGGGTAACCGGATCTGCTCGAGGTTGTAATTTTCACAGGTGGTAGTTCATCTTAGAAAACATGGATGAATTTTCCCCTCAACATATTTCATTACCTTAGTAATTTATACAGTATGTACTCCCTCACATAATCCCAAAACTGAACACCATGAATAAATAAATAACAATTTCTATGAACTCAAATTAATTTCCTCATATGGGAAAAATAAGTTTTGAGGGATTCTTATGGATTGGGGCGCTATTTTATTTAACTTTATTGAACAATAGCAACAATGACAGAACGAATTAAGCATACAGAAAAATTCAATACTTATGCAAACACCCAGGGGTGTTTATTAAATAAACACGTCCACAAATTCACATGTTTTGTTGCAAAACATTGATTTTAACGCTTAGGTGGTTAAAAAATGCAGTTTGTCTGAGGGAAAGCGCCATAGTGTGATGTGTGCCTCCTATTTGGAATATAAAACTAAGGGCAAATTCATGAAATACAGTAACTAGAGCTAGAAATATGTAAATATGAATATTATCTTCTATTATCTTGGCTGGGGGCGCAACTTTCTACATTCTGAGGGGTATGCAGAAACATAACAGCTACTGGGCTCAGCAAAATCTGTAAAACTGATCGAGTTATAACCATTTTTGTGTTTTCTGGAGTGAGGCATGAAGGCCAACTTGGATAATTACTTTTCAATAATTTTATCAAATAGTGTCCAATGAGGTATTTAACCAAACAATCAGAGAAATGAATACAGTTTGACAAAGACAAAAACATTGGGCTCATTTCCACTATCAGAACTTCTGGGTAATTTCCCAGCATGCACACATCTCCATTTCACCATTTTGGCCTATGTCAGGGACCATCTGAGTACCTGAACTGGGGTATGCACTTGGAAATGGCCTGGTAGAGTCGCTGGGCGGGACTTATGGTTAATTCATGCTGATTGGTTGTAACTCAATGTCAGGATGATTAATGAGACACCAGGAGTACAGCAGGCTTGGCTGTAGTGCACTTTGAAGACCCAGACACAGGGAGGTGCTGACAAGCGGTTTAATCTGGTGAAACCTATGTGCTTTAGTAGAGAATCAAAGGGAGGAGATGTTAAAACAAAAGAAGGAACAAAACTTACTAGCGAACATGATGAGGAGCGAAGAAGCTCTGAGCTCTTGACAAGGATGAAATTAATTGATGACTGAGCGATGAGTTGGTGTGGTTTAATTCCCTAAATAGGCTTGCGTGATGATATGGACCGCCCGTGAGAATTTTGGGAGGTGGAATTCCTGACAGTCAGTAGGAAATGATATCGGCAAACAATGCGGCAGAAATCCCTCCACAAAGGCGCCATTTTGGTCGTTTTGTTGCCTCCTAAAGAGTGTTTTATAAAACGTTTCTTCTGGGTTGCTTTTTACATCACACAACCACTCTTTCCATCACCCGAATGGATTAAATTACAGTGCTTTGTCAGAATAAAACATCTGACCGTAATTCATGTTCGTGGACACCACTTGGCACTGATCAGTGATGTCATGCATGTCTTAGCAAAGTCTTGAAAGGATTTTGAACAATTTGTATGGAGAGAAAACAGCTTAGAGGACCAAGCCAGCTTAATTTTTCCTGGCCTCTTACCCCCTCCCCTGGAAGTCTAATATAGGAAATAGCTATTATTGCCCGTTTTTCTCCTCGGGCGGAGAGCAATTACTTGAAGCTAACTTGAATAAACATAGGAGCATTTTCATTGATGGAAATTGCCACTGACTTGGGTATAATCAGTAGTTATATAAAGAGCGGACAGCGTTTAAAGGTGTGGTCGACTGACAAACCGTTATTTATTGATTTAAAAAAAAAATTAAAATCCCTCTGAGCTATCCATGCAGGATTAACATGAAAAAGACTCCTACACTTATCTCATGCATTAAGCACACCGGAAGTGGATGAGCCGCGCAGCATTGCGCCCGCAGTTTTGAGAAGTCAAGTGGTCACAGAATGCGCCACTGAGCACTTCTTGGATAGTCGCGCGATAGTTACAACATCACGCAGGACTTGAGAACAGGGGAATGACTCTATTGTTTATACGTGATCAGATATGCCGTCGTGTTTGTGAGACTGCAATTCATTAACAGTGGGTAAGTACGCTATTTATTAAAACATTTTAGGATCAATAGTACTGTAGCGGCATGAATGGCCTCATTTGTGACCCAAAGGTCACACTTCCTCAGCTGGGTCAAGCTGTCCTGGCTGTGCTTCTATCTACAGATTATCCATCACAGGAGACGCGAAGTCTGCTGTAAATCATCTTTAATCTGATCTGCCTTACCATATCTTGACTTCCTTTGCCCCCACAGCAAGACAAGGATTTTATCACGTTCCAGAAGAATCATTTATAATAAACTCTTTTAACTGTTAAATCCCCAAAGGTTCATTATAAATGTATTTAATTACTGAAATGAATTATTATTCTTTGGTTAATAATTATTGTTTATGATAATCAGTAATGTTTAACAGTGACAAGAAGATCATCTGCACTTATACTCACCATGCAGGACACAGTAATCGGGTTAAGGTTAATTGCACTCACATGTCTTTTTCATAACACCAGAGCTTTCTATCTTGGGAAGGCGGGCTTCTGAGGTATGTTAAAGACATGTCAAAACCTAATTCGTTAGACCAGGGAATGCCCATCGTATAAAACAGAACTCTCAGCATTTTGCGAATTAGTTCTAGAGAAGTGGGACGGCTGCCCACACGCTCTTTAACCAGCAAGCGACCTCTGTCACGCTGGCAGAATTGCTACGACACAACAAACGACACCTGCAGACCAAAGCTGATGCTACGAGATTCCTTAAGAATCTGCTCAGACGCAAACCAATTCCACACCTGTGTGCCTGCGGCAACTCTAGGACCAGAGAGTCAGTACCACTGGTCTTCCCTACCGGACTGGGTACCCAGAGGCTGATCAACCTCCTCCCTTGACCTCCGGATCTGAATAGAGGGTCGTCTGAATGGTGAGGTAGAACACAAGATTGCGTCTGAATGCTGTTTGATAACAACAACTTAGTTTGTTGCAACCAAATTCCTTTTCACCCAGAACGCGCTCTCCTTCAAGATATACGTTCTGAGACATCACGCATTCACCAGCAAGCAAAACACACTTCATCTTAGATCCATCCAAACAATTGGTTCTTTTAATACCGAAGCTTTTATAAATTGTCTTTTAAATTGTCACATTTTAAATTGTTAGTAATAAATTCCTTAACTTTTTAAACTTGACTCTTCATTGAAATAAACACAGAGAGGGTGTGTATAGATCACTGAATGAACAAAGATCTTTAGATCTTCTGAATTAACAAATAACTTTGCTATTAAATTAAATCTTTAAAATTAAACATTAATCTTTTGATTAAACATAGACCAAGCAAGTTGGTGTATGAATTTCTATCCATTACATATACATATTGATATCTATATATATATGTGTGCATATAATTTCATTCGTCAATTTGTTTGATCTTTCTTAGGAATTAAAACATAAGCTGAATAGCAACAGCCTTTAATTCCTAAATATGTAGTACTCAACGCTACAGTACTTTAAAGTTGTCAAAACTGCGACTGGGTTTGTGCCGTAAACCCATTCCGCGTTGTATTATCTGTTGTAAAGTACTCCACAATGCTGTCAACAGCCGCGGTGCTACTGCGCTGCTTGAGATACAGCGGGTGCCTATCTTTAGCGCCTCGGCACTCCCCGTGTGCCCAGTCTCATTAACTATAATGGCTTGGTGTGCCCTAGGCTTTAGTTTCTGATAGAAAATAAAGTGTAAAAATATAGAATTTGGAAATCCTGACAGATCCTCATCAAACTGTGAATTATCATTCATGGATTCACCCATCTTGACTTGTGATGGGGAAGGCTGTTGTTGATTTAGTGTCCGGTAATCAGCAACGGACATCTCGGCTAGTTTAAGCTAACCATTAGTATTAGCGACTTCACTTGACGGCAGAAGCTCCTCCAGGATTGTGTTATTTGCGGAGATAAAAGATCCATCTTGCAAGTCAGTGGTAAAGTAGGGTTGCTGTTGTCCAACTGGGGGAGAGATGTCCAAATATCATAACATAAGACTCCATCTTGCCATGTTGAGCTATCATGTGATGTTGCAGACTTGGCCCTACTGAGCCAGGGGTTTACAAGCTTTTTTGTGCCCTTAGAACTGCCCGTAAGCCATCCGTTCCTGCTAGAGACCACTGCAAATGTATTGATTAAATGAGTAATCCACTTCTTTAAGGAGAATACTAACATAAATGCTAATTGTTGTCATTTTGTTACACAGTAAACCTCTAATTGTCACCAGTTTGTTGTCATGTTGTCTGCAATAAACTAACATATGGATTTTTTTAGAGAAAAATTACACATTCTAATACCTTCGTGACAAAACTCTACAAATGTTAATGGTGATGTTTCATCTGAGCTCCTGTGTTGTGTTGGAAACACAGCGGGACCGGTAAACTGACAGTAGAAACTGTTGAGATAAACTGACAGTAGAAACTGTTGAGACTGTCGAGCAGCTGTCATTGTTGATTGGTTCCCAGTAAGATGCCTATGTGTGATCACCCAATGTGTGTGACAGAGGAAAGTATATATGTGTATGTGTGTGTGTGTGTGTGTGTGTGTGTGTGTGTGTGTGTGTGTGTATTACTAAGTGGGGTGTATTTATTTCAGTTGCGCCTTGAGGCAACTCTTTGAGTTCCCACACCCCCACACATGCTCACTTCACACGCACAGCTAAACAAAGTCAGCAATGTTGAGTAAGGAATCCTCCATGCCAAAAGTCTGTTTCTTTCTTTGTAAATATCGAACTTCCTGCCTCTTTTCCCAGCAAGTAGGAGGAGAGGGCGGAGTTACCAGACAGCTAAATGGCGAGATCTGTTACTTGAGAGGTGATGGGGAGACAGAGTGAAGGTGGAGAGAATAGCGGATGATGCATAAGGCAATACTATATAAAACACACTCAAGACTCAGAGAATTAGTCAAAGGTTGCACGTGCATGAAGACAACAGAGATGAAAAAGGAAGCAGCTGAGGAACATACTTCAGGTGAAGGCCAGGCCTTGTAGAGAGGCAGCTGATGAGTACTTGCTAGAGTCCACAAATGTTTGATCTAGAGAAAAGTAGAGATGTAAGAATGAAGGAATGGTGAGAAAAATATACAAAATTCTAGGGAAAAAATGGGCAAAAGAGCATTATAAACATCAATTTAACAATATGTGGGTGAACAGATAGATTTTCAAATCAACAAATACCTAGAAAATCATATAAAATGTGTCCCTGTGTACACAGACTGTGTTTTCTAACACAAACAGCTCTCCCAGAGGGCCACGGGAACTTATTAAACATTTGTTTGTTGAAATAAAACCTTTTCCTGCCAAACTGATTATGCTCAGCACTTCTTTTGTTCTGGTTGTGGTGTCACACGTGTGCTGCATTCTGAGTGATTTCAGAGGAACTTTATGTTGTTCAGGCCCTTTTTTCTTTTTTGAACAATCTGGATTAAATCTGCACATGTCAGAGATGAATCTCAGCTGACAGACTAAAGACAAGCTGGGAAACAAATGTGAAGGCCAGATTACAATATAACTCCAGGATCAAGCCCTAAAACAAAGGTGGGAGGGACTGATTGGGCTTTTGAACTGTGTGTGTTCCATCTGAGATGGCTTGTAATGGATTTCAGATTTTAAAAATGTGCAGTGCATCTGATAATGTAACACCCCATCTTCTAAACACAGCAACAAATCATTGAACAAGTGGGACTGAACAGCTTTTAGTGACAGCAATGAACCTCAGCTGCAGCCTTAGTGTTATGCGCTTAATGCTGAGCCGAAACATGGTAGGTTACCTTGGAGTCCGTTTCCGTTAGCACTGGTGCAGGAAGGTGGAGGGGACGATGAGGGTCTGACCACCGGAGCGAAGGCAGACTTCTGCTTAACGGCAGCTGACACCATGTTGGCTGGAGAGAAGGAGAAGACTCCAGAAGAGGAAGAGCAGTTGGATGGTAGGGATGTGGAGGAGGCCATGGTGGGACTGGATGGAACAACTGAGAAAAACAAAAACAAACATTTTAAAACTTAAAGCTGGAGAGCGTAGTTTAACATTTTTAAAGATGTGGTTCACTCATTTAATCAATACATTTGCAGTGGTCTTTATTAGTTGTTCTCTGGGAAAAAAAAGCTCAGATATTTCAGGAAGTACAAGTCACCTGGGGAGAAAGTAGCTTCCGACCTCACCTCTGATTGGCTAACAGTGACACGACTCTATCACCGACTCAGTTTGCTTTGCAACATTGATGTTTTATCTGCACAAATAACACAAGCCTGAAGGAGTTCTGCTGTTTAGTGGAGTTGCTAATGCTAATGGTTAGCTTCTGCTAGCTGAGGCGTTCTCTCTTGTTTTCTGGATGCTAAACCAGCAACAGCCTTCCTTGTCATGAGTCAATGGATGTTAATGTCATTGTGTGATGTAGATCTGTCAGGCTTTTCAAAACCTGTATTTTCACTGTCTATTTTATATCAGAAGCTAATGCTAGAATGGGGTTGGAAGAATATTTTCATGTTCAGCTGGCATTAACTTAGTTTTATAATCAGAAATAATATTAAAATTGTTTTTCAGAGATCTACACCTTTAAAGTAACTTCAAAAATGCTTAAATTTGACTAACTCACCCAGTTCTATGATAGACTTTAATATTTATATTTCCCCTAAGCCCCTCCCCCGGCAAAACAAACCATTAATGCGAGCCCAGAGTGTTGGCAATAAGAGTTGCGTATCCACAAGAGGGAGCTATCAATCTATGAGCACCCCAATCCCCAGTGTGCACTACGGGGCAACTCTGACACGTAGTTAGCTTAGCACACCAACCTAGCTTGAATGCTAACTTGGCCTACTTTGAATTTATGTCAGTTTGTGAACTTCAAGCTAACTGTGGAAGAGGAAGCAGCGAAATGAAAAGGGATTTATCTTTTGTATATTGGAGCTATGTGATTAGCGTAGCATTCAGCCTCCTGCTACATGCGACTATATTGTTTTAGGTTGTTGTAGGGTTAGCATTGATCATGAGTGCCGAATTCCTGCTGGCTTTAGATGTTTCCCTGCTTCAACACTGCAGATTTGATTATAACGAGTGTTAGCAGCTCCTGCACAACATGATGAGGAGATATTTCAACAGTTATTGTACATTCCAGTTGTCCTCAAAACTCAGAATTTCTGAGTAGGAAATTTGTGGCATACACATAACGGGCTTGGAAAAAGTGGACGCCACCAGTGTTGTAGACTACTTAACCATAAGAATTATGTAACCAACTATTCTCCACATCTAAATAATAGTGACACACATGCCCTTCAGTACTTTCCACATACAACCAGAAAAACATTACAAATCAAATGTGAAAATAAAATCAACAGGAAAAGTATAAACCATAAACACCGATCAATAACATAACTATTGATAACAACAATAAACAACTTACTGGTGCTGTTAAATAGCAAAAAGAAAGAAAACAGAACATAGAAATGAGAAAAAAATAAAGATGATAACTACTTCCTGGTAGCACTGGGTGCAGCCATCTTTGAATTTGGGATCTCAAGGTCCTCTGAAACCTACGACCTTGCAGCTCAGAATTCAGAGTTCATTGCATCATTTCCGGTTAACTTATCTAGGAAAAATGAGTTCAGAGGACAACTGGAATGCTAGCCTGGCAAGCCAGACTAAATAAATGTATTATTTAGTCTGGTCACGCTCCATTGATGTTTTGTATATTGGAGCTACGTGATTAGCGTAGCATTCAGGTTGTGGGGCGGGTTCTACCGTTGTCTTTCAAATGATCTCCGCATTCCACTGGACAATGAATGTGACATACTCTTGTTTCACTCTGTTGCATCATCCCACCCACCAGGCATATAGAGTGCCCTGATTGGCCCACAAAATGGATAAAGCTCTGTGATTTGTTCACCAAAGCAGATAGAGCACTATGACTGGCCCACCATTATGGACCAATCACAGCTCTTTATGTGTTTGAAACCTCTCTAGAGAGCTGTGATTGGCTAGCCAGAGTCCGGGTAGGAGCTGCTTAGGTTCCAATGGAGCGTGCCTAGACCAAAATTTGCAAAGCAATAATTTGGTCTAGTTCACTAGGCTACTGGAATGCACCATTAGAATCAGCTGCATCTGAGCAGGAATATACCAAAAACAGTAATTATCCGTTAGCGCTACAAGGCTATTTGCGAGAGCGGTATGAGGCGCGACTTTTGGCTCATTTCAGAAGGTGAAAGGGAGTAGACGTGGTCAAATTTCAAAATCTCCTTCTCCTCTCAATGATGACGTCATTCTATTAACTATGTTTAAATATAACAAAGCAAATAAGTTTTACTGTCAAATGGATTCATTCAAAAATAATTTGTTTTGTTCTACTATCGGCCTCACCCTTTCAGAACTGCCTCTCTTCTACAACCACTATAACCCACCCTTTCCCATTCATCCTCACCCATCCATTCATCAATCATCTCTCCTGCATCCAAGTCACTCATCCCAAGAGTCTGAAAAAGCCTTATATTAAATAATCCACTTAACTCGCATTGCTGTAACACAATCCTTGCTATTGAACAATTTGTTTCACTCTCATCACTTCCCTCTCTCCTCCTGTCATAGGATGCATTTAACATTCAGACAAAAGACAAAGTAGAACTGTCAACTGTAAGTCTGTGATCCTACTGCAAGACTTTGAAGCAAAGGTGAAAATTACTGCCTTCATTTATCTGTTTTTTCCTAAATGTAAAATACAACACCTGCTATTAAACTATGAACTCACTAGCATAAGGCGAGTTGGCCGCAGAGCCGTTGAGGAAAGTGGGCGAGCCTCCGAGGTTGGTCATGCCGGCGTTGTTGGTGTAGCCATTCATGGTGCTACTGACTGAGGTGTAACTGGTCTGCTGAGGTGTAGAGCTGGGTACATAACCGTGGGGTGACACGCTGCTGCTGCTGCGTACAAACCCTGCAGGAAGAATCAAGGAGGAGGAAGACAGTTAAAGTGATGCAATGATAGAAAACACCATTTGAAGCTCCAAGATTTAAAGGGGAAAAAAGTGGTAAAACAATTTACATTATGTGTTGGCACAACCAACAAAAATGTTTTCTTGCATTTAAAAAAGTGATCATGACATAACTGACAAGACATGCATGCATCAAACACATCAAAGCAAGAAGAACTTTCTGTGTAGGATGTATTTGGAATCTAAATTCGTACCCTGATTGGCTTGTGAGGGTTCGGAAACGTTGACGGACAGTTGTCCGGTGAAGGAGTTCACTCCCATCATGCTCGAGTGAGTTGAGCTGGAGAGCTGGGTGTGTCCTCGAGGAACGCTGTAGAGAGCTTCTGCAATATCTGCCGCTCGTTTAAGGATGATCTCCTAAGTAAGGACGAGAAAGGTCCACACGAGTTCAACACAGAGACCGCTTTTACACATCTGAGTGTGTGTTTGTGGGTGGGTGAGTGTGTACCTGGTTATTATGAGGCAGTCCATAGAGGGCTTCCACCAGGTCTGCAGCTCTTTTTAGAATAACTTCCTGATCAAAAAAGCCGAAGTTAAAAGTAAAACATTAGGATTTCAATTTGCTTGTCTTTTCGTCCTCAAAATAGACAATTCCACCGTTGCCTCCTACACCCTTCATCTATTTTTTCACTCTTCCTTCTTGATAAACAAATTGCTTTTCACTTCTTTTAAAGGGAGATCATCTGCTGTCAGCCTGAGTGCTTTCATGCCTCTTAATCACATCTGTGAGTGACAACTATTTAGAATAAAACCTAAAGTCGGTCCGGTGTTCTTTGTAGGCTTTTCTGCTGTGCAATGATTTTGATTCCTTCTGTTAAGGAACAACTCAGTCCAAATCTGCTACTTCCCCCCTCACAGATCACCTTTCACTTTCTCGTTATGACTTTGTTCATCTGATGTTGCCTCCACATTAAGACTGATCCTCTACCTACTTAAAGCTTCTCTCTACGGTAGGTGTCTTTTCTTGTCTCTGCCGCACTCTCCTCCTCTCTGGACACCCATCCTGAGGCCCAAGGTGGATAGTTTAACAGTTAACGTGTTGTCATGTTCGCAGCATGAGGTGACACAGAGAAAATTACCCCGAGTTACTCAATGTTAACCTGCACGCTGGGATGCAGTCGCGCACACACTTATGGTTCGCTGCACGTGTGCTCTGCTGTGAGCTTGTGATGATGTAGGGGGGACATACTGCCTTTCCATCAGTGTGTGTGTGTGTAAAGTGATAAAAGGTCACATATCCAGTCAGCAATTTTAGCGTGCCCGTCAAAGAAGCTAAATTCAATCTTTTATACATTATTACATTCATGCTCCTCGATGTTAACCTCATATTATTAGACTGGTGAACTGAGCCACTTAGAAACACACACACACACACACACACACACACACACACACACACACACACACACACACACACACACACACACACACACACACACACACACACACACACACACACACACACACACACACACACACACACACACACAGAGAGAGAGAGAAACCCGATCCTGAGTGTGGAAGTGGTTCCAGTAAGGCCAGTAGCTGATAAACGGGAAGGAAAGATGATCCGTGGTAACATCATCATTATCAGGTCTGAGCTGCTACATCATCAATGGCTGCAGAAATCATCACACTTTGATGGTTTTCTATAGACTTTTATTAGGTAACTAATTGATTACTGACAAATGGATAATAAAACTTCCTGTTGGGTTGATGCAACTTTGAAAAAAAGCAAAAAAGTGTTACCAGTCTCCCTTCTTGTTCAGGATGTGACAGGCCTTTTTTAACCTAAAAATATACCTGAAATTTTTGAGAACCCACAGGTACAAGCAAGGGCTGCATTCCATTTATGCAGGTGTGCATGCTGGTTGTTGTGTAAAACGGAGCCAAACATCCTCTAAATGGAATGCAGCCCCCTGTAAATACACTCGTGTGCTGCCTACTCGAAACACCTGCTGTGAAACAGGCGGTATAGTCTTCAGGAGACCCAGCACATTTATTTAAATAGTAACATTTTTTATGCATCCCATGCCTGTTGGAGTTAGTTGCATCACATTGCACACATGCCTATTTAAAGACATCCGTTGAGCTTTCTTAGATGGAGAACTGAATCTTTTTCCCCATCCATGATATATCTAGAACTTTCAGCCATCACTGCTGAAGTCAAAAGATGCTGATCGTGACTAAACAAAAATTTGCAGTTTAAAGGGATACTAAGTAGTTTTGGCTTGCTTTTAGCACCCCTGATGTTTGTTTGAGTAAAAAGTAAAGTTAAACTCTTATTGCTGTGCGTTTATCTTCTTAACACCTTAATCTAAATGCAGAAATATCTCCTCAGCCTTCCTTAATCATCACTTTCTACCAAATCAAACAAATCAGCTGAGTTCATGGTCTAAAACATGCAGGAAACATGCTGGAAACAAACTGCAGTACCAGGCATGTCAGCTCGACTTTGCAACTCTGAAGTTGCAAATGCGGTTTTCTGGCCACAGGGGTCTGCGTGACATTTCAATGACCTAGTAAAGGGTCATTTTAGCTCATGATGTAAAAATATGAAAATATTGCATAGTGTGCCTGTAAAACCAGCCAAGCTGGGAGGAAAAACTCTCATCGTTTTCTAAATTGTTTTATTTCTAAAACAAGTGACCGTCTGGTTTATCGTACACTTTAGATTTGGAGACAGTTGTGACTGAAAACAGTTCCGAAAGTTTGACTTTGACTACAGAACTCATTGCTGTTGTAAAGTGATATTTTGATGCTTTATTCAGTTTGATTCATATGATTGCTCTACGTTCTATCTGTCAGGTATTTATAGAATATTTACATATTTACTGTCAATTCTCATCTTGCCAAAAAGGCTTTCATCCAAATGCGGGTAGCAGACTTAAAAAACAAGTCAAAATTTTTCAGAGTTTAAACAACTTTTTCTCTAAAACTTCTAGCGTGATCCTTTCTAATTTGTGTCAGGTAGATATTTAGGTAAAAAGGTCAAGTGAGAGTCACACTGAAGAAAAAAAAAGTGATAGAAAGGACAGATCCGCTGGATGAGTGAAAGACTGACAGGAGCTGTCTGCAAGCTTTTATCGTCTGAATTATGAGCAGTGCTAATACAATAACCATACATTATCTCAATACACATGTTGTATGCATTAGAAGTAGGAAATGCTTAGCTTTGTGTGTGTGTGTGTGTGTGTGTGTGTGTGTGTGTGTGTGAAGGATTGCTCAGATATGAAACACACATGACTTATTCTTCGCTAATGCTAGCACATTAGCAGCCTGATCTTCTTCTAATGTGCCATTAGGGAAAGCAAACATGGAGGGTCACCCCTCGCATGGAGATGATGTCATGCTTTACACGGGAGCTCACGGAGATAACTGCCTAGATCATACACACATACATGTGCAGAAGTATGGACATGTGTGCACTAACGGCCTTTGGGGAAAACGGTATAATAGGTCGAGAGATGGTGTGGTTTCACACATCATCACATTTTTGTATTTAAGTCTGTGAAACAAACGTACGTGCTTTTCATGTAACGCCTCACCTGGATTACTCATACCCATCCAGGATTACTCATTGTCAGATGACACAACCTTTCTGATGTCATTAAAAAGAGCTGTATGGCCAACTCAGCTGAGTGGGTCACGAAAGGAAGTCATCCAACTCGATCAGAACCTTGTTCGCCAATCAAACTACAGGAGTCTGGATCAGTTAAACTGCAGACGAGGATCGACTGTGTGCTGCAGTATGAAAGCAGCAACAGAGCTCAATGCTATCCAAAGATACCATTTTGCTTTTTTGCGCTCCTACTATTTAATAACACGGTCTTTATTTGGGCAAATTTATGTTCAAATTTAGAATCCTAATGTCCTAAAAAGTGTTTTATATTTAACCAGCTTGTGGTAAAATCTTCCTCATGTCATCTAGGGAAGTGAAATCGCAGTTTATGAGCATCTTCATGGAAACGGTACGCATGTCCCGTTATGGATGGATGCTGAGTGGATCACTGTGACACAAACTGGCAGCTGAACTGCTGCGTGTCTTTGTGGAGCTACTAAAATCCCCTGAATGTTCACTGAACAATTATAGAATCGGCTGTTCACCGATAATCCTCTCACACACTCGGCTGCCCCGTCTGCCTGTCTATCGTCTGTGAGGGGCTGCCAGCACACTCTTATAGCTTCAATACGTCGAATGATCGATGCTCAACAGGCAGTCAGGTGTGTGCCAACACACACACACACACACACACTCACACACACACACACACACACACACACACACACACACACACACACACACACACACACACACACACACACACACACACACACACACACACACACACACTCACGCACGCACACACACACACACCTTACACCACATTTTGGTGTATGTGATGTGCTACATTTGTTTCTACTGACATTAAGCACGTTATTGCTAACACGTGTCGAATTCAGGGTGTTGGCGCGAGCATGTTGACATCACACAATCACCACATCATCACATCATGACCAGCGCCCATTCTTTAAAAATGATGTCACACCAAATGAAGCCGATCCTGGATCAGCTCCAGCAGGAAAGCCAGAGCCAGTCGAGAGCAGCTGTTTACGAGGTCGTAGAGTCGACCTCTCGAACGTGCACATTCTAAATCTTCACTAGGGCTCACAAACGCTGAGGAGAGTCATCCGGCGCGAATGGATCAGGATGAGAGGGTTTGGCCTTAGAACCAGAGCTCATCATTTGTTGTTAATTGTTTACATGTGCTGAACTCTCTATCTGATCTACGGATGAAAAACAAATAATCAGATATGACTCTGCTCTGGAAATGATTCAAACGCTCGAGCTGTAAATGGGAGTTTGACGAAGCTTAGAGTTCACAAAGAGGTAGAAGCACAAGCCGCTGGAGGTTTAAATACACACATTTAGCTTTTAAAGTAAATAAAACCATTTAATGTCATTCCAACTATTTTGTTCTAATATGTTTGTTTCTCAGCGGGTTTACTCTTTTGATTCCAGAACAACTTAGTGTGGCTCCGTCAGACTGAGAAAACACATGTAGAGCCACGGTTTCCTTCAGAAGTCTCTCTATTCATGGCTCGCTCTCCCATTGAGGCATTAGATAAATTTGCAAAGATCAAAGTGAAGTGTTGCGGTACCTTTGGAAGCCTCTCGGGGTCCCCTGGGTGCCGAGGGATAACCTTCTGAAGCCTCTGGAAACCGTAGTCTATGGTTGGCTCATTCAGTGCTGCAGAAAACAGAAAGCAGGAGGATGAGTCTAGAAAGGTTGTTTAGATCTCCCACGGCGTTTCATGTGTGGGTATAGCCGTGGCTTCTTGCAATGACTCCATCATATCTGATACTGTGCTTGTCAATGTTTTCCCATAAAAAAAATCGTTTTATTCCTCTGCGGTTGCAGGTAATGCATCCATAGGGAGCCTAAGTCTCCTCCCTTTCCAGCCAGCACATGGTCCAATTCCAATATTCGCACTCTTCAGCAAAGTGCACTTGGAGAAAGTGCGCAGTAAGGCTTTGAGTGCGTAGTACACAAGTGTGCAAATAATTGCCAAATCAAGACAGGGAGCATTGCGTTATCAATCGCAACGCATGCTGGGATGCTGGTCGCTGTGATAGCTTTAAAAAAACTTTCTTAACAACTTTCAATCAAACAATGATTTAAAAGAATTTTACATTCGTTGTTGCTTTGTCTAAAAGTTTTCGAGCATCAACTAATCTACTTTCTACACTAACTATACTTCACCCAAGTCCGCATCAATGCAGACTTGGGTGAAGTGCGGATCAAGGGCGCAAAAATGGACGTGGCCAACTTCCGCACTTGAGAATTGGGACACCCTACGCACTGGCACCCTTGGTCAGGATTGCGCAATTGAAAGGCGTGGAAGTGTGAGTATTGGGATTGGGCCCATGCCTAGTTCGATGACATCAATTTCTTGAGACGAACATTTGTAGTCTGTTAGGTATTTTCACACTAAAGCTAAAATAACTTTAACCGCCGTTCGAAAATAAGAGCTTTCTTGGCATCAAAACGTGTCTTTAAAATTGATGGACATCATAAGTGAAATCCATGGCACACATCAAACGGGATCAGAGAATAACTTTTATTCCTTCGTAGATGCCCATTAATTTTTTGGCAGTTGGGGACCCATGGTCCGGATGTAAATGGACGTGACTTAACTGGGTTTGCGTGCAGTCACTGTGACAGGTAAGTGTCCTACCTAGAGTAAAACTCAGGATGGTATTAACCATTAAAGCTCATAATAAACACCTTCAAAGGGTTTACTGAAGTGGATTGAAATTAGGAGAGGAAGGCCTGTTTAAGAAATTCAAAGGTCAGGACAAATATTAAATACAATTTTATAACTAAAGAAATGTACATCAGTGAGGGGGATCATGTGGAATTATTATGATTAAACTTAACAGAGTAAATTAACTAATAATTAGAGAAAGGGTGGGATAAAATAAGTTTAAGCTTCTGCCAACTCCTTTTGACATTTATAAATGTTATCATTTTTAATCTTAATTTTTCATTGTTTTTACTTTCATGTTTTGTTTAATTTGATGCTATATGTTACAGTTTGCTCATCATTGTTTTAATTTGTTTCTATTGCACATGTTTAAATAATACCTACTCAATCTATGTCTATAGCAGATAACTAAACTGATAACTGGTAAACAGTTGCAACTGGAGAACATTCATGACAAGTACACATATGCCCACATATGCAGAGAAGGTTGTAGCTGCAGCATCTTATGGTGTCAGAAGCATCTCTGATAATAACACCGCAGGTATAATCTAAAAGGGCTTTAAAGAACACTTAACGCTCACTTTAATGTTCCAATTACACTTCTGCAAAGTCTTTATCCAATCAACATGTCAATCAAGTCAAGCTCTGAAAGCTCCGTCAGTCACTCAGAACAGTGGTTAAAGGCTTCTAGATGTGTGTGTGTGTGTGTGTGAGTTTACTGATAAATGCTGACGATGTGTCGTCACCACATCGCTGAACCCTGGAAGTTCAGTGTGAGAAATAGAGGTAAAAAGTAACAGTGGGTGGATGTTAGTGTGTGTATGTGGGGAGAAGAGGGTGTGTGCGGTGTGTGTGTGTGTGTGTGTGTGTGTGTGTGTGTGTGTGTGTGTGTGTGTGTGTGTGTGTGTGTGTGTGAGTGTACACATGTTGTCCAAGTGTGCAGCTGTGGTGGTGATGTCTGGTACTTTCCACATTCAGCACAGATAAATTACTTGCAGCTGAATGTCCCGTGTTGTTTCATCATTTGTGTGTGTGTGTGTGTGTTTTAGATATATGTCTGTTTTATTATCACATCACACCCACGTTCCTGGTTTCTGTTATGTCCTAAAACCACTTAATTTGTTAGCAACATTAGTCCATAAATTATGAGGTGTTAAAATGTCCAGATGTGATGAGGACAGAACTTCCAGAACTTTCTTGGCAGATTCAAGTTTTATGAGTCATTTAAAGGAGTCTCAGGATGTAGGCTGAGGTAGAAAGAGATGAAAATTATATATATATAAATGATAAATGACCCGCAATTGTATAGCGCCTCTCAGAGTAAGGACTCCAAGAGCTCTTTACACTACAGTGTATCATTCATCCATTCACACACACACTCACACACTGATGGAGATGAGCTACGATGTAGCCACAGCTGCTCAGGGGCTCACTGACAGAGGTGCATATATGTAATTATATATATATATCTATCTATCTATCTATCTATCTATCTATCTATCTATCTATCTATCTATCTATCTATCTATCTATCTATCTATCTATCTATCTATCTATCTATCTATCTATCTATCTATCTATCTATCTATCTATCTATCTATCTATCTATCTATCTATCTATCTATCTATCATCTATCTATCTATCTATCTATCTATCTATCTATCTATCTATCTATCTATCTATCTATCTATCTATCTATCTATCTATCTATCTATCTATCTATCTATCTATCTATCTATCTATCTATCTATCTATCTATCTATTATCTATCTATCTATCTATCTATCTATCTATCTATCTATCTATCTATCTATCTATCTATCTATCTATCTATCTATCTATCTATCTATCTATCTATCTATCATCTATCATCTATCTATCATCTATCTATCTATCTATCTATCTATCTATCTATCTATCATCTATCTATCTATCTATCTATCTATCTATCTATCTATCTATCTATCTATCTATCTATCTATCTATCTATCTATCTATCTATCTATCATCTATCTATCTATATATATATATATCTATATATATATATAGATATATATATATATATATATATATATATATATATATATATATATATATATATATATATATATGTATGACTACAAGGATGACATAAAGCTCTACGGCAAGAGCGTGCGAGACATCGACTCACTGATCTACACCACCAGGATCTACAGCACTGATATCGGAATGCCATTCGGACTTGAGAAGTGTGTTCGGATGGTGACAAAGAAAGGGAAGATAGTCCACAGAAGGGGTCTTACTACCAGAAGAAACAATAGCAGACATTGAGGACAGCTACAAGTACCTTGGTATCCCACAAGCAAATGGCAACCTTGATGAAGCTGCAAGGAAAGGAGCCACAACCTACAACTAGTAAGGCAAGTCCTAAGAAGTCAGCTCAATGGCAAGAACAAGATCTGGGCAATAAACAGCTATGTCCTGCCAGTAATCAGATACCCTCCAGGAATAAGAAGCTGTCCAAAGGAAGAAATACAGACCACAGATGTTGAGACACAGAAGCTTCTAACCATGCATGGAGGGTTCCATCCCAAATCCAGCACCCTGAGACTGAACCCTAGCCGTAAGGAAGGAGGCCGAGGTCTAGTGAGTGTGAGAGCCACTGCCCAGGATGAAACATCCAAGATCCATAAGTACATCAAGGATAATGGGCTCGACACACGGGAGGCGACAAACGACCGCGATCAGCGAAATTCGTCGCTGTCGCTTTTATTACCTGACACACGGGAGGCAACCCGCGGCAGCGGCCAGCGGCAAAACCATCTACGCGTTCTGTTCCATGGCGAAATTGAAACTTCCGTTGTTTTGTTTGGCTGTGTCAGGTTGGAGGGAATTAAGGTTATTTAAGCGGTTCAGAGTTAAAAAAGTGGTAGATATGATGTTTCACAAGGTGCTGCTATAGTTATGTGAAATCTTACTTCTGATTTTACTATATAAAACATAATAATAATCAACTTCTCCTCCATGTTTGCCCAGAGATGTACGGAGCATTATGTCTGCTCAGTGGTCAGTGAATGAAACCTCCGTTGATTGGTCCTCGTCCGAGCGACAGCGATGAAAAGTTGAAAATGTTTTAACTTTCTGGGATCGCGTTGCTGGGTCGTCCGTGCATGACACGTGCGCAAAATTTCACACGCACGTTTATCGCGTTTTGCTTAGTAGGAGGGAGACCCGCGATGATCGCTTTGTCGCACATGTCTCATTGAAAATGAATGGAGGAGAGGCGATGTCGCCTCCCGTGTGTCGAGCCCATAAGGCCCCAACCGATGACATGCTCAGTGAACGTCTCAGACAACGGCGAACAGAGGAGACACTGGAAATACCATCGTGGGATGACAAACCCTTACATGGGATGTACCACTGACAGATAACTGAAGTGGTGATATCAAGAAATCCTTGTAATGGTTAGAAAGAGCTGGTCTGAAGGACAGCAGAGAGACACTCATCATGGCAGCACAGGAACAGGCCCTGATCACCAGAGCCACAGAGGCCAAGATCTACCACACCAGACAAGACCCAAGGTGTAGGCTATGCAAAGAGGTCCCTGAGACAATCCACCACACAACTGCAGGGTGAGGAAGTATACATGGAACGCCATGACCAAGTGGCTGGCATTGTGTGTACAGAAACATTTGTGCTGAGTATGGACTGGAGGCCCCAAGGTCAAAGTGGGAAACACCCCCTAAGGTGGTAGAGAGCTTCTGTGGGACGTCCAGATCCAGACTGACAAACTGGTGATGGTGAACCAACCGGACATTGTGGTGGTGGACAAACAACAGAGGACAGCCGTTGTGGATTATGTGGCAATACCAAGTGATGGCAGGATCAGGAAAAAGGAACACGAGTAACTAGAGAAGTACCAGGGCCTCAAAGAACTTGAGAAAGCCTGGAGAGTGAAGTCATCGGTGGTGCCCATGGTCATCAGGGCACTCGGGGCAGTAA